TTTTACAGTGTCGTTGATTGTTTCGATTGTAATCACGTTTAAAATGGTTCAATGACATAATACTTTAATCAGATATGCGTTTATTTGATAATTGATTCAAGGATTCAAACAGAATCTCTCAGGAATACTATGTTTTTCTCTAATAATTAAGTACATTGAATAGTTTATAATGATATTATTTTTCTTAACTGATCACTTCAGAAAGCTGAATCCCTATATCAGTAAAGTTTAAAAACACCATTTTTACGAATTTAAAAAATATACAAACTTAACTTTTTTCAAGCAACACTTATGATTATAGTAATCAAAGTTTTTTTTTAAAAAGTTGGAATAATATTTTTCAGGAAATATTTGTTTGATAGATTTTATGAATGTTTGGAAAAAAACACCGAAAAATCATAGGAATCGTATTGATAGAAAATTTTTAATAAATATTCACACAAAAGCTTCTATAAAATAATTCTAAAAGTTTTGCAAAGGCAATATATACCGAAATTCAAGTCTGTTACAGCAGTAGTGTTAAAAAAAATAATTTTCCGTACTGACATTTGTAGTTTATAGAAAAAACCGACTAAGGAACAAGTACCAATGTTAACGAAAAGCTCAAAAAGTTTTTGATGAACTAAAAAAATACTTTTAACAAAAAAAAAAATTCAGAATTTTAGAATTGTAAAATCTGAACATTTTTACGAACTTAAAATTAAATAGGTGACTTTTAGTCTAAAAATATCAAGACATAAATAATTTCGATAAACTTGCCGGCTTTTTCTGATGAGAAATACCTTTAAATTGTGACGGCTTTCAGGCGTGAGAATTTTGTAAAAATAAACCCACGCTGCAATAAGTGACCCACACCCACATAGACTTGACAGTATGCCACATAATACGAGCCATTCTGCAAACAACTCATCTTAAGCAAACCTGAAAGATGAGCTCCCTGCTTAAAGACAAAGACAAGCCAGGAGCTGGCTAATAACCAAAACACGAAAAACATAAACGGGCTCACCCTTCTAGTTTATAAGTCACCAAGTATTATAGCAGGTGTAGTAGAGTTAATTTTTTTGTTTCCATTTTACTTTCTCTTTCAAGAAGATAGGCGCGTGCGGCGCATGCAAAGTGTTCCATCTCTTTACTCTCTTTTAATGGAAGTCCCCCTTTTTTTTAGAGGTCAGTGGACGGTCAGTTACCGTCATCTCAAGTTGAGGGTCAAGGGTAGGAACCCCGCGCTGGCGTGAGAAAAGAAAGTGGGAAAAGCGTTACGCACACGTCATCGCTTTAAAGAATAAAAAAACTGATTAAATTTTCAACCATGGAGATTTTAAGAGGTGACTTTCAAATCTCATTTAATGCTTTAATAAATAGTTTGCATATCACCATCCGTGTGAAGTTACTGTTGAAAATATATACTGAGATCGAGAAGCTTCATTTCAGTATAATTTTCATGGGAAATTCATGAAGAGTTAGGAAAGCTTCTCTCACGTAAAACTGTTATAAAAATTTAAGCAATATTTTTACACTGTTAAAATTTTCATTCTAAAATTATGGTAAAATAACTGGCAGCTGTCTGTCCATCCGATTAACCGTAAAGTTTACGGTAAAGAGCATTTTTTTTTCTTTTATGGTTTTGAAACCATTTACGAAAGGTATGGTTATAAAACCATCAATACGAAACTATACGGGTTTTTAACCATTTTCAACTAGCATTTTTCAAAAACGTAAAAAAAAATAATTATTTATCTAGACATAGGAGCTCGGCTTTTCATTGGGCATTGGAGAGATTCGGATACTGGAAATTCTTCATGTGTTGAAGGGAATGGAGGAAATATCGTGGTGTCAACACTAGGACTCGAACTCAGATTCTGCCGGTCATGAGATTGACAGATAAGCCCGCTCGGCTATGATATGTAAGCAGTTGCAAAGAGCTAAACAGTTTCATAAGGTGGTTCTAGCTGGTGCGATAAAATTCTGGTTGTTTAACAGTATTAGGTGAAAGCAGTTAATAAACAGTTTGATTAATATTTTATTTATGGTTATTTGACTGCCTTGATTAAATATGGTAAATTAACCATTCAATAAATTGTTATTTAACCATTTTTTCCAAGAAATTTCTAACTGTGTATAAGAGCCCTATTTGTTATAGACAATGGTTCACAACCTGAGGGAACTTACCTTAGAGGAGAATTTCATAGTTCCAAGGGGAGAATCATGTTATTTTCATTATCTTTACTTTCAACTGCACATTCCTTTGTATCCCATCAGAAAATAAATTTAAGTTATGCTTCCATCAACTCTCTTTTGCGAAGTTAAATTTAGCTCAAAATCCATCTATTTCAACTTTTGTTGAAAAAGTTCTTGATGTTTTGCAAGATAATATTTTGGATTAAGAGATGATCTCCAGGCAAAAAACATATTAGGAGAAAACTCAATCACTAAGTCTTGATCTTTGATGTGCAAGTATTATCTACAAATCGCGGAAAATCAAAGCATTATTTCCGTTTGTGCCGATTTATCTTTGCAAGTCAGGTTTCTCAATTTAAGTAAAAAATTAAAACGACTAAAATAGATTGAGAGTGACCTACACTGTTAAAAACTCCGGGCCAAATTACTGTAATAAATACCGGTACTTTTGGTTCATCATTCGTAAAATCCATTTCCCAGTTATCCATTTACCGTAAAATACTATACAGTAATTTTTTCAGTAATATTTAATTTATTAGAGTAATTCAGCGAATTTTGCGCGCAATTATGATTGTAAGAATGACTTCATATCATTTTTTTTTGCTCCGTAACACGTTCCGTAAAACGAAATTTCAAGTTAAAAATTACCATCACCATCATTGCCGGTACTTTTTACCGTAATTTGATCTGAAATTCTTTATAGTGTATTTTTGCATGCATTACTCCATGTATCCAAGAATCAGCCATGAAAAACAATCAGATCCGTTAAATTAAAAGTGATGAAAATCACACTGGTTTGTTATACTAACACATTTTTTAGTATCTGGAACACCATTAATTTATTTGACCTTAAATGGTTAGTGCGATAATGTAAAAAATATACATTAAGAAAAAGTATGGTATAAACGGAACAGAATATGGTAAAAAAATTACTTAATTACCTAAAAATTGCCAGTACAAGAACTCCAAAAACTTCTTAATTTTTACCTGATCATTTTGGTAAAATTAACAATAAATTATAATTTTATAATAAGTGAAAAAAATTTTAGAAAAATATGTTAAAATATGGAAATCCAGTCGTGATGTAGGCCATGGCTTAAAAAACCATTTATTCAGTTAAATTTAGTTTAACTTTTACAAAGTGTGTGGTAATAAGAACTATAAATTTGAAAAGCAGAATTTTCGGTAAACCGTTACAATAGGAACGGAAGTACTGCCAAATGAGTGGTTTGAATACTTTAAATATCGTATAGTTTAGTTTTTATTACTATAATTATGTTTATTTTTGCCAGAAATGTCATAACCATACAGTACAATAATTTTTTTAGTTAATTTTTTTCCGTGTATGAAAGGCAATGCTACATAAAATTTTTCTATGGTTTGTTGTTTGATTTCAAAAACTTGTTAAGAAAATTAAAAATTATCATCATCATCATATATATATATATATTTCAAAAAACATAGACGATTTTTTTTCCAGAGAGTAGTTTTCTAACTTTATTCATCTTAGTTTTAAAAAGTAGGTTATTGGTAAAAGAAGCTTATTTCTTTTCTTCCAGGAACTGTCATTCAAATTAGGTTATACTTTGCTAGCACTGGTTCGTAAATTGAAGGATTTGAGCTGACTAAAATATGAAAGTTAAACATGTTAGAATGTCAAAGATCAATTCGTTTGAAAAATCTTTATAAAATGCTCTAATGTATAATAGTAAAACTGCATTTTTTATTCATCTAAACTTCATAGATATAATATGGCTTCATTGGATTGTAGATGAAATTTGAAGTTCAGTATTTTTTTATAATACAAATTAAGATAAAAATATAATAATAACACATTTTCTCATAAGTATAATAATGAAGTAAGGGAAAACGTATTAAATTATTAAACTTTCTTAGTTCAAAAGTGCACTAAATGCGAATTACAACAGAGTGTTTTTATTTATAGCTATTTATATTTTGCTTAAGAATTGAGTTTCTGAAAACATATTCTCCAAATATTAAAACGTACTTGTAATTTGTTGTAAAAAGTACAAAAAGTAATCATTGATTCACTAAATGGAACGGAAAGATAAATTTAATAATGATCACTTTCATACATAGTTCATTGTTAATAAAATCTTAAATTATTCGCTTATATAAATTATTTGGAACATCATTTTTGTTATACAAATTTTGTACACTTAAAAAAAAACAGCTATGTATTATACGCGGGAAATATCTGTAAAAGTATCGCACTCTTTGGTAAGGACATTTCTAATAACAAAGCCATATTTCTGGTATTAACCAAAATTTACGATATTTAAACCATACGGTTAAGACACACCCGCTTACTTTGCGCGAATCTTAACCAAATTGTTTTGGGTCGGTTGTTCAACGGCGGTCATAAAATTGAAAAAAATAAAAAATATTTAAACCATTCATTTGGTAACTTGTACGTTTATATCATCAGATCATTCACGTTACCGGAAATTCTGATTTTTAAATTTATAGTTCTTATTACCACAGGTTTAATAAAAGTTATGGAACTCAAAACTAAACTAACAAAAAATAAATGGTTTTTATGCAATGTTCTAAGGCATCATGATAAAATTAACAAATTTTAACACATTTATGAAATGTTATCATATATTAATTTAGATTATATTGTTAATTTTACCGAAATCATTACCAAAGCGCTTCGGTAAAAGTTACCTAGCTTTCTGGTACTCCCATTGTGACAGAAACAGAGTAAACTTTACCACATTCTGTTANTATATATATATATAGTTCTTATGAGGATCCAACTTTTTCTTCGTGATGTTTACTTTTCTTTTTTATTACAGGCGAGCTTAGCTGTTTTCGCACTTCTACTTTGGATGGAAACGTGTGCAGAAATCCTCAGAGGTTATCCTTGTATCAGGCGGAAAAACCAACTTTACTGTCCTTCGCCGGGAAATACTTATCCAAAGTATGTATTATAGAGAGATTTTTTCTTTCAATTCTTATGGAGGGCATAGCACGTTTGTTAGCTTTATTAATTAATGTTTATTAATTAACGTAACGAAAAATACTAGCCAACTATAAATTACGATAATTTTTATAATTTTCTGAACAGTTTTATTCAATTTAACAATCATTATACATTGCATGTGAGTAATGAACGTTAAATTGATATTTATTCCTATCAGACATAGAATCATGTTATCTTCTGTATATTAACAGATTTAAAATAAAACTTATAAGGAATGTTGAAAATCTTTCTTTATCTTGTCTCTACTTTTAAAGAGAAAGAGATAAGTGTCTTCTTCCTGATTTAATGTTGGTTAATAAACTTGATGTAAACGCATTTATACTTTAAAATTCAATAGATATAATATTCAATAATGTATCAATATGAATATTAAAAAAATAAAATATAATAGTTAACATTTTTTAATTTCTTGCGATTTATTTGCATCAGCTTTAAAAAATTATGTAATTTTTTTATTAATGAACTTAAGACATAAATGTTTGATACGAAATATAAATTAGCAGAGTAGCTAGGATCCATCATATATCGTCAAAGTTAATTTAACTTCATAAAATTCAGAATAATAACAAACTTAGCTTGCGAGATTAAATTTCAGTTTCTACAGTTAAAATTTGAAGTTGTATAGCCATGTTGATAAATAGCAATGATTTTTATGGTATGTTCATTATCATTTCTTAAGCATGCACGTCATGAAGTTTTAATTGTGTATTTAAAGAATTCGCAATATTTTATATGTTCACAATATACATATTTACATATACGTGTAAATAAAAATCCAAACTTTTATTTCTTATACTTTAAAAAACGATTTTCATGTTTAGTTTTATTCTTATACTTTATTGGAAGGACAATTATTTTTATATTCTTATAAGTTTTTTTTCTGAGTTTAAACTGGTTCGTTTTGGTCACATGCGTATACTTAATTTTTAATTATATTTTGGTAAAAATTTTCTAAAATTGCACTTTTTGAATGTGTAAGAATTAATTTATTGTTTTTGCGTAATACGAGAATATGGTATTGAAGGAATATCGAATAAAGAAAACATCAACTAAAAATTAATTTTTGTTAAAGTCATTCAAACCTTATTTCTGCACACTTCTCAATTTTTAATGCTAATGCAATCACAAGTTCCATTTAGTTTTTTTGTCTTTGTTTCTATATTATAGGGTTCTTTATAATTTTGTTTTTTGAAGCAAACAAACACAGAATATAAATTTTTCATTTATAATCTGGAAATTAAAATTAAATTCCAGTACATGCGTGATATTTAAAGATAAATTGTAAAAAGATAAAATACTTTAAAACTTATTTTTATGTTTCTCTACTAAATATAATATGCTAAAAATACCAAAACAAACAAAAAAATTTAAATTTTTACTCCGAAAAATTTTTTAAATTACATTTCCATACACTAACATAATAAATATGCAGCTTTTCTGGAATACCAAACTTTTTTTCTCATTTGAAATTATCTTTAGCATTTACAAAACAAAAATTTACAAAACTTTAAATCTTATAAAATACTTTAAATCTTATTTTATGCTTCTCTACTAAATATAATGTACTAAAAACACCAAAACGAAATATTTTTTTTAATTTTTTCTCAGAAAAATGTTTAAATTACATTTCTATACACTAATATAATAAATAAGTAGTTTTTCTGAAATACCAACCTTTTTTTCACATTTGAAATTATCTTTAGCATTTCCAAAACCAAAATTTACAAAACTTTAAAACTTATAAAATACTATAAAACTTATTTTATGTTTCTCTACTAAATATAATATACTAAAAACACCAAAACCAAATTTTTTTTAAATTTTTTCTCCGAAAAATTTTTTAAATTACATTTCTATACACTAATATGATAAATATGTAGTTTTTCTGAGATACCAACCTTTCTTTCACATTTGAAGTTATCTTTAGCATTTACAAAAAAAAAAAAAAATTTGTTATTAGATTATTTTTTTTCTTGCATTATGGTTTGTTCAAACTTTTTACACGATGCTAGATTTTCACATGCTTTTGTCACTATTTATCAAAATTTGCAACATAATATTCTAGACATTTTCTTAATATTAAATACTATTCCTTTAATAATTATTGTAATCATCAAAATCATTTTTTTCTTTTATTTGTTAAGATATAATATTTTTATTTTTAATTTTATCTATAAATTAAATTGTACATGATCAGCATTTCTTTTGTAATTATTTTTTTTTTTTGATTAAAAATATAATCAGTCAATTTGTTCTTTATATTTTAGTTTAATTTAAACTTGGTATTTCATACACAATGTAAATTAATTATTTTTATTTTGTGGGTGTGTGAACTGAATGTTATTAAGCGCGCATTATTGCTGTTTTTCTCCCTGTCCTTCCAATATCTTCTACAAAATTAATTCTTTTTTTTTTATAATTATTTTCCCTCAGTTCGACGAAAGGGGAAGAAGATAGGACAGGCAGGGAGAAGAGGAGCAAAAGGTAAAAATACTTTTTTTTTTCTCTTTTATTTTATATTTTTCTATGGACTATTATTCGTTTTGATTATTGCATGAAATCAATGAATAATGATTTGTTATGTATTAATAAATGAGTTGTCGGAAAATCTTTTGGAGTTCAATTAACATTGATCCTTATAAAATTGTATGCATGAAATTATTATATGCACATTTAATTATATGAAATTATTTTATACACATTTACGAAATCATTTATTAATCCAATTAATATGTATTCTATTATTATTTAAAATCTCCTTTTATTAATAATAAACTTTACTGACTCCCTTTTAGAAGTGTTTTTTTAATCAAGTATTAAATCATTATCTTTAAAAACATAATTTTAAAATTTAAAAGTAATTTTATGGTAAAGTAATTAATTTTAATTTTTAATAATCGAAACTAAAAAATATTTTACTTGAAAAGAAATTAAGGTCAAACGATAGAAAACTTTTCATCCGTTTTAAGTATTGTAAGTTTTACTTAAGACACAATTTATATCAGACTTTTTAATTGCATTATTGATTTTTTTCCCAATAATTTAAGATAAATGTATGCACATTGTATAGTATGCATGCTATCAATAACTAAGTTACGCAAACAATGATACAGAAATGTGTTCGGATTTTAAATATAATTTAAAATTACTCTTTTGTTTTAAAATTAATTAATTCCTTGAATGAATTTTCTATCACATAATTTTTTATTTTAAAAGATAAAAATGAATTTTGATAGAAATCATGATTTGTTATCTCAAACCACCATTTCATGTATTTAATTATTGCGTTACTTCAATTACAGTAAAATAACAAAAGTAATATAAAACTTCATTTTTAAATAACTCAGCATTTTTTAAATTTTTTAACTCACAAACAATGACTTAGTGTTTCAGACTTTTTAAATTATTCATAAAATTTTAATAATTTGCAATTTTTATTTTATTATAATTAAAAACTCTTTCAAGAAAATAAGAAAAAAATATCGATTATCTTGTAACTTTTGTCTGCTTAGAAAAAAATCTCTAAAATTGTCATTTCTTTAGTACTATATTAATTATTGTTATAAAAATTTCAAAGTGGTTAATTAAGAAAAGTTTCAATTAATTCCTTTAACATGTGGAATCAAAATAGTTAAGCTTCATTTGATATGATATTGAACTCAAAACTTTGCACTCATGTTAGAAAAATTGCGCAAAACTTTTAAAATGTTTAAAAATCGTAAGCTTTCAACAAAAACTTCTAATTCATAATTTTTATTTCAATTACAGCTTTTTTTTTCAAATTGTTCTTTAAATTTATTTTATGTTTAAGTAAATGTAAAGAATATTCTGTAATCACGTCCCTCAAAATATATTTCTAGAATCCTTATAAAAATAAAAACACATTTAGCATCTCTAATTAGTGCTTCAAGCAACAAAAAAACATACAAAAGCATTATTAAATCAGAAGAATCACTATTGAGCTCAGCAAGATTAAAATTCCCTAGTTCCAATTGAAAGAAATTAAATTTTATTTGGCAATCAAACTAGTTTTGAAGTTTTTAACACCCATTTCCCCAATTATAATTCCGCATATAAAATTTTTTTCTCGTTTTCCTTGTATAAAAATACATTTACATTTTCTACTGTATACATAGTTTTGACTTTATTTTTTTAAAGCATTCTTTACACATTTGCATTAAGTATTCATTTATTGTTTTTGTATTGTAGAGATCGAATTGAAAAATTCATTGATGAAAATAAAGCTTTAGTAAAAAGAATGGTGGGTGAATATTCCTTCGGAAATGAAGATGATAACAACACTCCTGCCTTTAAATTTGACCAGTTTGAAACATATGATGGTCATCCTGTACATAGTAGAAATAAAAGAGCAAGAACGGCGTTTGGAGCGTCACCCAATAAGTAAGTTGAACTCATAAAATTTAATTTTTTTGAAAGTTGATCAAGTTTTCACACGTAAATATAATTATTTATCTGTCATTTTTCATCTCGAAATATTTTTAATGTATTGAACTTGTATACCTATGTGTTGATTTTATGAACTTCGAAATGAATATTCGAAACTTAATGAACATTCGAAATTTAATATTTTAGAAATGTTTTCACGCTAAACGAAGTTCTTTTTTTAAATGTGAATTTAAATGCTTACATTGTAAAAAGTTCCGGATTAATTTACGGTAAAAAGTATCGCCAGTGCTTTTCACCCTAAGATCCATTTTTGCCTAAACATGTTACGGAACAAACTTTCAAATGTACCGTAGTTTTTACAGCTATAATTAATTCCTGTAAATCACTAAATCTCTTTCATTTGATAAATATTGCTGTAAAAATTACGGTATGTTTTACGGCAAAAATGGAATTTACGGTAAAAGGAATTTTACTACGCACGTTGCACTCAAAATTTTGATACTTTATACCGTAATTTGATCCAGAATTTTTGAAGTGTGTTGAAAGAATTTATTGCATAATTTTAATTCTTAAGATTTGAAATTATGAGCCTTTTAATCTTTACAAGAGTTGCGAATAAATTAAGCTTCAGCGCGCATATAAATTTATATTATCAAATATTAAATAAATGATAATACTAAAAATTCGAAATAATTATTTCAGAATTATTTTCTTGCTTCCTTTATTTTTTATTTTGATAAAACAATACTGAATTTCAACTTCTACAATATAGGCTGATTTTATTGAGGACTAAATCATGAATTGATATAAGAATTGATTGATAAGACTAAATGATATTTAACAATTAACATTCAAGATTTGAAATGATGAAGATTATAATTTCAAAATTAATTTCTTTCATACCACACATTTTTTTACTCCTATCATACTATCTCATTGATCAAATTTTCAGTCGTTAATTAAATACTTTTTATTCATATACTCAAAGTTTAAATAAATTTTTTTGAACTTGTAGTGGATGATGACACTTGATGTTAATACAATTTTTTCAAATATTAATTCCCTAATTAAATAGGGATGAGTGAAAAACAAGAGTCAGTCATTGTTTTAAATTTCACCATAAGAGATTCAGTTTTTCACATATTTTAAAAATAAAATCAGTGATAATTTCTAACTTACAGCCCTATTTGAAGAAAAAAATAATTTATTGCTCACATTTAAACAGTTAATTATTTTATATTTCATGTGTCAGATACATTCAATAAAGAACAAACTTATACTTTTATAGTTATCTGATACCACGCGCCTTTTTTTTTCCAATACCTACTATTAGTTCACTTTCCCTGTTAATATTTATATATCTCGTTCAAATTTTCAATCGTTAATAAAATACATTTTATCCATCCAAATACATGTTTTCAAACCTGTAGTGGATGAAACTTGATGTTAAAACAGATTTTTTTAAATATTAATTCATTAATTAAATTGAATTAATTAGTTTTAGTTTTACATGGGAGAAAAAAATTGCAATTATTTAATAAAAAGTAACTAATACAAAATTTAATTTTCGTTGAAAACAAACATTGAACCTAAACATATATTTTATTTTATTTAAGTAACATTATGTTTTTACGCTTAGCATTCGAAATCATAATTTTAAAACTCTTTTTCATTATAAGTATTTTTTTTATTATTGTTGGAGTTTCTTTCCTTTTCATAATAGAAATATCAAAAGAATTATACATTCATGTTTCAACAAATAAGAACAATATTATCCCAATTCTATCAAGCAATACCTCATTCTCCTTTTACACATAATATAAGGAATTACAAATATGTTTTACTCATATATTAATAAAAATTAAATTTCGAATTTTAATTTTAAACATATCATTACATGTCAATAAGAAAATCATTTCTAGCAATAAATTATATTTAAATTTTTAAATTTTATATTGTTCTCGTTTACTTCCCAATTTGTAACTCGAAATATTGTATGTGTAATTGTGAAAACTATACATAAAATTTCATATCACATCATACACATCAAGTATGACTAAAATTTTATTAAAGAAAAATTCAAGATGAAAATCGAAATGTCTCTTTATAAAGTTTTTTTGAAACTTTGATAAAATGAAAGATTTGATTCTTTAATTTTTATTTCCATTGTATGATACGCCACAAAAATATCAAATGGTAAATTAATGCAAAAATGCATAGCTATTCAAAATTTTAAAAAGAATAATTGTGCAAGATTTGTTCAAATAATTTGCTTCTTGTACTATTTTCAGTTTATCATAAAACAAATTTTTGATAACTATAATAATGCTAAAGTTCATGAGTGCATATCCTCTATTTAAATAATGCGGTTTTGCATTTGGAAAAAAGTATATCATTATACAAAAAAAATGCATTTGATTTTTTCATTTAATTAGTAATTATACTTTATTTTTCTTTCTACTATAGAGTGGACGCATGCGAGTCAGCAGTGGAGATTGTTACTCCATATTGGGCTTCGAATAGCGCAGGAAAAATTCGAGCCATAGTCAACACACAACATTTACAACAAGCAATACAGCAAGAAGTCTGCCAGTAAGCAAAATCTTCCTTTCTCATATTTACAAATTTGCATAAATTTTCATGCTTTTTTTTAAATTATAAAATTTACTTAAACTCTCTAAAATGATTATTCTCTCCGACTGCTGTTACCACCTTGCTGTGGTGGGTTGGCTTGCGTGCGTCTAGGACCCATCTAGGACCCTTGGTTCTTCTTGAGCAGTAACAGGCTGTAGGACCTTGAAAGAAGAAGAAAACAATCATTACAAAGGTCATGTAGCTTTATAAGAAGAGATTATACACAACACAACCCTTATAATATTGATTTAAATTTAAAGTAAACATTTTTTTTAATATGTAAGATTACTTTGCTTATTTTATCCCACAACAAAATATAATATAAATACTATTCAATCAAAATATTTCAAAATATTTCACTGTATTTAGTTCCTGTTTCCACAGGTTTCATATTTTATAGTCTAATAGAGTTAAAGAACACATCGTTTAATGAATCTAAGCTCAAATGTTTTAGATTAAAATCATACTTTCTTGAAACACGATAAACGTTTTTTGTAATTTAGGATTGTTTTTTTTTTTATCTAAAAGTATTTTGTCACAAAAACTAATTGAAATATTACCTCTTCAATACAATAATTTTAAAAACCAGAATTTCCGGTAATCTGTTACCATATGAACGGAGAAATTACCAAATGAATTGTTTAAATACGGTATATTTTGGTTTTATTAACCAGAATTATGGTTTGCTTTCAGACATATAATTATCATGCAGTACAGTAATTTTACCAATTTTTTTTTCTCTGTGAAGGTGTAAGTGAATAAGTGATCTTACTGATTAAATAATCTTACAAAATTTAAATACTTATAAAATATAAAATAATCTTTTGAAATATTAAAAAAGAACAAAAAAGCAGCAGTTTTCTTACTATCAGACGAACAAATAATGATGAAAAAAATTTTAATGAAAAGGGAGCAATGCGTAGAAATAAGCTTATATCAAGTAGATTCCAAAAATATATATTTTCAAAAAATATGAGTTACATACAATTTAGATACACCGTGTTAAAGTATTCCAATGTGTAACTTTTTCATTTGCATTGAATTTTGCTGCCCTAAAGATTAAAAATAGAAACAATAACAAATATAGAACGCTTATTTCAGTTCATACATTGTCAAAAATTTCAGAGCAAATTACAATTTAAAGTACCTGCACTTTATTCGTAAAATCCATTTTACCGTAAATTCCATTTTTAGCTTAAAATGTTATGCCATAATTTTTACAGTAATATTTATTAAATTGGAGAATTTTCAAGGTATATATTCTGTGACTTTACGGTAATATTTACTGTAAAATTTAAGGTATATAAGTTTTTTTTGTTCCGCAACGTGTTACGGTAAAAATGGATTTTACGGTAAAAAGTTCTGGCACTCTGAGTGCCGGAACATTTCACCGTTGCTTGATCCGGAATTTTTTACAGTGTACAATTTAGATTATCTTATAAAATTAATCCAATATGTAGTATTTTGATTTGCATTGAAACCAGCAGAGTTTAAACAACGAAACAATGGCACAATATAGAACTCAGCTTCAGTTCCTACCGCAATGCTTCTCATTTTATTTAACTGCCCAAAGATAGAAATAATATTGAATCTATGGCTCATAAAAAATACATACTATAAATTTTCCAGCGATAAATTCTATCAGCAACACACCTATAGTTAGCTACACATTAGAAAATCGTATAATTCACAAAAGCATGTCACCAAAAAAAATATCCCTTTTGAAACAATAAAACTACGACAAACATGGTGCTGATTTTTATCTAGAGTTACTTGTTGCAACAGTTCTTATCTATGGGTCATCTCTAGAATGTAAGGGTGTCCCACTGGGACAGTTACAGAGACAAGGGACAGAAAAAATATAATTCCCCATTAAAAAAATCTCTTGTCTTTCTGTAGCAGTTGATATAGGGAAGTAAATAAGTTTCCAATTTCAAAGTATTTGGTTTCGTGGTGCCCCTGCTGCTAATGTCAATTACGGCTAGGGACGTTTGGTTGTCCAGGTAGATTTAAATTTTCTTTTTACCTGGTGAATTGGGGGTGGGGTTGCAGTGACGTCTTGATCTACTTCCGACGTTTCCCTCAAGCTCGTGGAGGGTCCTTAATTGAGTTGTCTGCCGTTGATGGAGAATTATCTGTGATTTTTTTTCTTCTTGAACTTTGCTCTTGTGAAAAAAAAAGTGGGGTAGATGATTAGAGAATGATCTACTTAATTACAGTTAGTTTTGTCGATTTCTTTTTTGCAAATTCTCAAAAGAATAATGTTATGGTAACTTTGAATTGTCTAATTAAAATTAATAGATTTATAAATAGAATGGTTTTATTTCTCATCGGTAATTAAATTTAAATCGCGATATAAGGAAGTATTTATTTGCATTTTAAGTTGTATCATACATTTTATTTCTAACAATATTATAATCGCTCAAAAACCATTTCTGATAACATCTTCTCTGCCACACATTTGATTTATGCAGAAACCGCAAAAACTTAACCCTTAACATCTGGAAACGCTAAAATAGAATGATCAGTAATAATGTATTCCTAAAATCTAACAACCTATAAAAAATTTTGTTTTTGCTATGGAAATTTATAATTATTCTGAAATAAATGTATAATTCTTTATTTAAAAAAGTATATAAGTCATAATACTAGTGAAAAAAGGTAAATAAATACTTTTGTAATCCAACAGTTGCGTATGTATCAACTGTCTGTGTACTAGATAAATACTGTTTTTCGTCACATTTACAAATTTAACATGCATTATGCACTTTGACTTTTATCTTAATAATACTGTTTTATACTGTTATAAATACTGTTTTTCATCCCATTTATAAACCTAAAATGTATTATTTACTTAGAATTTAACCTTAAAAATACCGTTTTTCACGGCGTTTACAAACTTAATATGTGTTGTTTATTCACTTTGAATTTAACCTTAATACTCTCTTAAACAAACAAAACTTAAAAATTTTTGATAGTGTTATTTTGAATGTTAAAAATCAAGTTCATAGAGTTGACTGATGTCATTATTATACTACTGAGGTTGTTTGAAAAAGCTCATGTCTATGATATGATTTACGAAGACATTTTAGTATGTTGAGAAAAAAAGGTGCAATGAATACATTGCCTTTTAATTATTTATACATTGCCTTTTAATTATTTATACATTGCCATTAGGAAATTTAGGAAATTCGTATACGTCTCAGTCATATATGTCAAGTGTCTAAGCGTTACAAGAAGATACAAAATAGACGTAATTTTGTTTAACTTTTAGTATTTATCTATAACTTGTTATTTGAAAGGCTGTTTCTGTGTTGATTGCAACTTACGAAGTTCTCTTTGATAACTTCGATTGACACGAAAACTTTATTTGCGCGAAACAGATTCTACACTTTCGACTTCCACACTTTCGTAAAAATTGAAAATAGAAGAAGTTTTCATTTCAATTAAAAAAAAGTTATTCGGCTCTGAGAAAAAATGTATAGTCAAAACTACTAGACTATGGCAAAGTTTACAGTATTTCTGGCTCCATAGGAACACCGAAAAGCACGGTAATTTTTACCATTGCAGTTTGAAATGATTTTGGTTAAATTGACTTTAAAATATTGTCTTATATCTGATTAAATTTGGTAAATGTGGTAAAATTTGGTAATTTTATCATGATGCCTTAGAGCATTGTACATAAACCTTTTATTCGGTTAAATTAATTTTCTGTTTTTTTTTTTAAACTAAATATGTGGTAATAAAAACTATAATTTTATGAAACCAGAATTTTTTGTAAATCTTTACAACATGAACGGGAAAAATTACCGAATAAAAGGTTTAAATACCGTATATTTTGGTTTCATTAAATATTTTTTTTTTTTTTTTTTGAAGCTTTGTGGATTTTGTAAACCTTTTAAGTGTCTAAGTTTTACAAGAAGATACAAAATAAAAAAACCTTTATTTAGATTTTAGTATTTATCTATTACTTGTTATGTTCAAAGTTTTTTTAATTTTTGATAATTGGATACGTTGTTCTTGTGTCATTCCGATTTTTTAGTAACTTGATTTGCTCGTAATATATTTTATTTTAGTTTTGAAACTTCCCCGATTCTGATTAACTTTTAACTGTCTAAGCTTTACAAAAAAATATTAAATAGACGAGATTTTATTTAAACTTCAGTATTAATCTAACATGTGTTATTTGAAAAGTTATTACTGTGACAATCGGGTCTCATGTTGCTCTCTAAATCATCCCTATCCTTTATTAATTTGGTTTGTTCTTAATATATTTCACTTTTGGAACTTCCTCAATTTCATAAACCTTTTAAGTATCAAAGCTTTACAAGAAGATACAAAATAGATAAACTTTTATTTAAATTTTAGTGTTTGTCTATTACTTCTTATTTCATAAGCTGTAATTGGGTATTACGTTGCTCTCTAAATCATTTCTATTTTAGTATCTTGATTTATTCATATTTTTTTACTTCTTTAATTTCCTCGTCTTTGGTAAAATTTCAACTGTCTAAGCTTTACAAGAAAATACAAAATAGAAAAGATTTTATTCAAATTTTAGCATTAATTTAATAACTGCTGTTTGTAAAGTTATTACTTCAATAATTGAATTTCGTGTTGCTCTCTAAATCATCCCGATATATTTATCATGCTGCTCTCTAAATCATTTTATAGTAATAAAATTTGTTCATGAGATATTTTAAGTTTGGAACTTGCACAATTTCGTAAACCTTTTAAGCATCAAAGCTTTACAAGAAGATAAAAAATAGACAAAATTTTATTTAAATTTTAGTATTTATCTATTACTTCCAATTTTAAAAACTGTTAGTTTGGTAACTGGGTCTTACATTGTGTGTGCTCCTTAAATCATTTCTATTTTAGTAACTTGATTTATTCATATTATTTTTTACTTTTTTAATTTCGTAATCTTTGGTAACATTTCAACTGTCTAAGCTTTACAA